GAGATGTGCTGATTAGTTTTTGGCAAAAGCAGGTCCAGCCGTTACGAAGATACGGAGCAAAGAGTGCAGAAAATACAAATCGAGTTTTTGAGAGGAGTATCCGATTTGAATGACCTGAAAAATATTCAATTTGTAATGATTGGGAGCAGAGGTGATTAATTTTTAGCAAAGGCAGGCCCTGCCATTTCGAAGATACAGAGCTAAATGTGCAAAATTGGCAGTTTTTGAGTGAACTAAGCGTCCGATTTGAATTATCCAAAGAACTTTCTGCTTGTTTCAACAGAATAATTACTTTTTTCAAATTTTTTTCAAGACTTTTTTTTGTATATCGAAAATAATACAGGTTTTAATTTTAATTCTGTTCTAATATACTTTAAACAAATAATTTCAATTTTGCAATTCAGTTTATATAATTCTTATAGATATTAGACAATGTTACAATATTTATAAAAATCTGTATAAAAACATTTTATATTCCTCGATCATTTCGTCACGGTACGGTAAGTTACAGCAATTTGCTTTAAGGCACGATGCCATACACCACTAGTTTAATAATTTATTGCTTTACTATCATCAATGACTATACTCTGTCGAAAGTAATCTGTGGACCTTGACTTTTCAGGAAATAACAAAATGTGATTTCTATGAAGTGAATTTCTGTTACAACGTTGTGCATTATTGTTTATTGAATCTTTCTTTTTAAAAAAAACAAGATTATTTCAATTTTTGCGTTTTCATGTTTCCTGGTTTGATATGTATATTTGACTTAAATTTTAAAATTATTGTTTTCATATTTTTTAATAATTGTGTAAAACTGAAAAAAAGTTATTTGGATTTACTGAATGAACACTTACATCAAGTGACGTTTTATATTTTTATTACAGCTTTTCATAAAACTGAATGTTGGCAGTTTTCTAATTGTATCATCAGCTCGTGTATGAGGATTCATCATTTAGATTTGTTTTCAAGTTTTTATAGTAAGAGAACTAATCTTACCTTCATTTTCCCTGTCGCAATTTTGTCGTTAGGATGTAATAAACCTTGGTATTTTTTGTAACTTGGCGCTAGCTCGTATCTGTTATAAATTTTCTTATATGGCTTCAAATTTTGCATCTTTGTTATAGTCACATTGTGATTATATGAGCTCGAGTTAGGCCTTTTTTATCTTTGAAAATGAAAACCATGTGGCTGGTACTTTTCTGTTAATAATTGATCTTTCTAATGGTTTTTCTTGTAAAAAAATCTGGAATACATGGATTAGATGAAATTGCGATGAAAACAATGCTATAAGGCTAAAAGTGCTAAATTTTGTTCTATATTTGAATGTCGTGTTCGGAGTTTTTCAATTTCTAAAAGAATATCGCCATCATTCAACGCTAGCTGGCGCATTTCAATTTTGTTGGTAACACGACTCGCATTAGATTATGAAGTTAATTAAAATGACTTTTTATATGAATTACCTATTATTTAAAGTTGCTATCTTTTTTTATTTAGGACAGTTATTTTATATGCTTGCAACTGTATTGTAAGTTCACTTGTATAGTTTGTTTTAAACTATAATGAAAAATTTGTATTCATCGTGCATTGATTTGATTTTAATCATGTGGCAAGCCTTATGCAACTCGCAGTAAAATACGTTGACTAATAGATTAAATTATCTTATTTAATTTTATTGCCTATGTAATGTTACATACGCGATTTTCATTAGAATTCTTTAATTTTTCAATTCACTTCTGTTTTCATAAAAAGATTGCTATTTTTAGTAATGTGAATCAACACCTTTTTAATATTGATTTTGCACACTTTTATATTAAAACCTCACTAAACTAGACAAACATAATTTCCTGAAACGAAATTGCCGTCAGTAATATACTAATTCAGTTTATTTTGTTACAATGATGAAGGCTTCTCACAGATAGGGTCTTTAAGATTCAAATATCATGTGCGTGTGATTCAAAGCGTGGGCCTCGCCAAATTACATTTTGTACTGAAAATGAAAGTATGTCTAGAAGTCGGTTTTCACATGGCTATTTATATATTAAATTTATCTAACAAAAATTATTGTATGATAAGTAATATTGAAACAAAATTATTCAAACACATAAATTCAAATTGCAATTACATGTATTATACCACCGACTATAAGCACATTTTTTAAATATTTGAACAGCGATCAGAACTGAGTGTATAAGCTGTTTCTGTTGAACAACTTCTCAGAAGGCAACCCTGCAGTTAACCATACCCCTTCTTTGTGTGTATATATTGCGGCAGTGTCCACATAAGGTCATTTTCACTTGAGATAATATTTGAGATCTATAACCTCAAGTAGAAACTTGCTATCATGCTGCCTGATATCGTGTTTGACCGAGGTTGGGTTCGATTTCGGGACTAGTTTGTGCTAGCTCCAGTCTTTGACCTATTACGCTACGGCGGGATCATAACTATAGTATATTACACATGCCCAAAATACAAATATTTAAACTATTTATACTAAATTGTATTTGTCATTTTTTTTATAACTGATTCTTGAAAATTAATATATTATAAAATGTTTTTGAAAAGTTTTATATTTTTTGACTAACAAGAAATTAGAAAAGGGTTGAAATTGTCAATATTATAATGATACCAAAAATCAGGGACATAGCTATATATAAGGACCCAAAACAAAGTCCTTGGAAGCAGATTGTATTAGTAATAATGACAATTGTCCTAATAATAATGTTGTTCAATCATAGATATTCAACAAAATACGTTTTTCTGCTTAATCTGTTAATACCTTAACCGCGGTTTTGAGATAAATAAATAAATATATTTATTATGAACTAAAATAATTAATGAAGACGCTGTAAATCATTAAAATATAGAACAAAAAGTATTTGTATTTATATGTACTACTTATGCGTTATTGGTAAAGAATTCATATGTGATGTTGAAAACTTGACCCTATTTATTTATTTCCCTATTACATATGTTATTTAAGTATTCGGTATTTGGCCGAATAGTATAAAAAGATATAAAAAATTGAATGTACATGTAGTACATTAGTAATATAACAACTGCGAATAGCAATTACATTTATACGAACAAGTTTAGGCGCTGAAAACCTGCCGAATAGTTGCTGAATATTCGGTATTCGGTCTGTGAAACATGCAGAATATATATATATATATATATATATATATATATATATAATATATATATATATATATATATATATATATATATATATTAAATGGTACAGTCTTGGATTTGTGTATATTTTGTAGAGTTTCGAACAAGAATCCAAAAGTAATAAAAAACAAGAAAAGTTTTTTGGAAAACAATTTATTTATTTATTTATTTATTCACTGTCGACGTTTCGGAACTAGGTACGTTCCATCTTCAGGACATCTGTCAAGAAATATGATCTTGATGAGATTTAAGCAAACCATATGTTTAGGAAAAGAAAATGGATTTTTCTCAAGGGCTCAGATGGATCCAAATTGATAAAAAACAATTCTCTGAAAGGTTTGGTTCTTAATATTAACTTTTAGATAGTGCGCAATTCAATCAAACTTCGTATGGAAATAGCATGGAAAAAATTTTGAATATTAAAAAAAAATTTTTTAGGTATAACTTAGAACAAATTTTGAATAAAACTCATTCATTTGTTCGCTAAACTATGTCTAAAAACTGAAAATTTTTTCATGCTTTTTTCATACAAAACTTTGATTGAATTGCGCTTTATCTAAAAGACAATATTAAGAGCTAAAACTTTCAGAGAATTGTTTTTTATCAATTTGAAACTATTTGAGCTCTTGGGAGCAAGGGAATTCGAAAATGTCTATATTAAGGACCACCCTAATATATATATATATATATATATATATATATATATATATATATTATTTTTTGTAACCTATATTCTTATTTACTAATTTTCTGAATAAAGTCTTTGTTAACTTCCCGTAGGGCAAGTTATAGTAATCGCAAAAAAATCGAAAATGAAAATTTTTATATATCTTTACGTTTCAAAGGTTTCTGAACATTTTGGCATACCTTAGAAAAAATGGATGTATGTGTGTGTGTGTGTGTGTGTGTGTGTGTGTGTATGTATGTATGTATGTATGTATGTATGTATGTATGTATGTATGTATGTATGTGCGTGTGTGTATGTATGTGCGGATACAAATTTTCGTCGACGATTTCGGGAACACGGATCAACCGATTTGAATAATTCAAAAAACATTCGATTCGTATTGATAAGGAGACGTGCTGATTAGTTTTTGGCGAAGGCAGGTCTAGCCGTTCCGAAGATACGGGGCAAAATGTGCCGAAAACGGTAACTCAGTTTTTAAGAGAACGGAGCGTCCGATTTGAATAATTCAAAAAACATTTCACTTGTATTGACAAGGTGAAGAATCGATAAAATTTTCATGAAGGTAGGTCTAGCGGTTTCGGAGATATGGAGGAAAAAGTAAAAAAATGAGCCATTTGGCGGTCAAAAATGATCATTAGACATATGCACATCAAATTATCAGATATTTTATAGAGATTTTAACAATAAGTATACATTTTGTTAACATTTCTATGGGTTCCGTACCAATGCTTATGCGTTAGACAGCGACGCGGCGCTTACGCGCTTTATATTTTGTCCCTATGCAGTTAAAGCAGTACGATTGCTTTCAAAAAAATTTCAGATCTTCTACAATATGTCAAAATACAGAAAAAAAAATTTTTTTTCAAAAAAAAAAATGTTTTTTTAAAAAAAAATTTTTTTTTTCAAAGAAAAGTTATTTTTTGTCCAATTTATAGTTTCTCAAAAATCTTATTCTTTCAAAGTAATTTTTTTTCAAAAATGTTAATTGTTTTAAAAAAATAATAATTTTTGGTACGGGAAGTTCCAGCAATTTGCCTTAAGGCACGATGCCTTAATTGCCTTAAGACAGAATTCCACTTACAGCTAGTTTAGTATATTATTGGACATAATATCATTAATTAATAATTATTTTTTTTTGCAGGCGGCTCCTATGACGTGAAGCAGCCAAGCACAATGCACCGCGAGCTGGCCACCATTCTGGTCGCCATTTTGTCTCTAAGTTTGGTGCAGAGAGCAATTCGCGCAGACCTCTCTGGAGACATCGTGCGTTCATTCAACGACTCCGCTAATACTGAGAGATTTACTCATCTCGTCGTCGATAAGAACACGGGTCGCGTTTTTATTGGGGCCGTCAATCGTCTGTATCAACTTTCACCCGATCTTGAGTTTGTGTCTCGGGCAATTACGGGTCCGCATCTTGATTCACCAGAATGCTCTGTTTTAGAAGATTGCCCTGCAGCAGGCAAAGCAAAGAATCTTACCGATAATGTTAATAAGGCTCTCGTCATCGACTACACCACACGTCGACTGATAGCATGCGGCTCGCTGTTTCAGGGTGTGTGCACTGTTCATGATGTCCAAGAAGTTGAGAGGATATTAATGCAAGTTAAAGAAGCGGTTGTGGCCAATAATGCTACGGCATCAACGGTTGCCTTCATAGCGCCTGGTCCTCCGAATCCGCCGGTCACGCAAGTTATGTATGTTGGCGTCACGTTCACGGGCAATTCACCATATCGGTCAGAAGTACCCGCAGTAAGTTCGCGAAGTCTAGAACCGCGGTCGATGTTCCTCATCGCTGAGACTGCGGTCACGACGGGAACCAGAATGTTCGTGAATTCGCTGGCTCGCGAGCGCTATCCTATTAACTATGTTTACGGCTTTAGTTCTGAAGGGTTTTCGTACTTCTTGACGACACAAATGAAACACACGACTGCCAATGAGTATATTAGCAAAATGGTCCGGGTGTGTCACGATGACGAGAACTACTATTCATATACTGAAATTCCTGTGGACTGCGTAACGGAAGCGATGGGAGGCAAGAAGTACAACCTCGTGCAGGCGGCCTATGTGGGCAAAGCTGGTTCTGATCTAGCGGCCGATTTGGGAATCACGGCGCAAGATGACGTATTATTTGCAGTATTTAGCGAGTCCGATGCACCTGCTTCCAGCCGCCCTTCTGAGAAGTCAGCATTGTGCGTTTACTCTTTAAAAGCAATTCGTAGAAAGTTTATGCAAAATATTAAGAACTGCTTCGGAGGACATGGAAATCGGGGATTGGACTTCATATCACCCAGTCTTGGATGTGTGCTAACGGTAATTGTTGATATCTTAATAGTATTATATATATATATATATATATATATATATATATATAAATATATATATATATATATATATATATAATAAGGTATAATAACAATATTATATATCGTACCACATACTATTTAGAATCCGTATCGCTTCACTATGAGGCGGCGATACGTCTATTTATAATTATGTATATTATATGGTTTTGGGGTGGGTCATATAAAATACTAATTGTATGAATGTTTTTTTTTAATATTTTAGAGCCACACGTTTCGGCTAACATTCTGGCTTTCATTCAGTGGAATATACTGCCACAATTAGGTACCTTTAATTAATGAAAACACTATTGCTCCATGCTATCAAAGTGTGCACTATTGAAAAATATGTATGTTTTGGCACTACATAAACCGCAAAATTTTTTTGTTCTTTGTGCAAGATTTCGAGATATTCAACATAGCTGTTCCATAGAATAGATTAATTATTGAGAATGTTGTTTGAAAGATGATTTAAAATGATAGCTCTATATGATGACTGATGACAAAAATCGAAACGCCTATTTAGAACGTAAAGATCAAATAGAACTGTAACTATAACCCAATAAAAAAACTACAGAATACTGTAACTTAAAGGTTCTATGAAGCAGAAAATCTAGTATGTAAATATAAATAAGGTACCTTTTATGTTACTATCATTTAGGGGCAAAAATAATTCATTACATTCTTTTTTCTTCAGTCAATATCGAATGACTAATTTCTTTCCAAATGAAATATAATAACAACAACAAGCTTAACTGTTAATAACTGTACATGTTAATATAATAATCTTTAAACAGCAACCAGCCACAGGGGCTTAGAACTTTTTAAACATGCAAAGTTAGGGTATTTATGAAAGACTATCAGTAATATTTTAATATTTTTTTTTTCAAAGTGGATGCGATATAATTTTTTTAAGCAATCATAATAATAACTATTGATGTATTAAGACTATATTTTAAGGCAATTTAGCTGGAGCTTACCATATCAAAATTAATCAACAGAAGCACATTCTGGATAACCTGATGTAATCATGCAGCAATATCAATTGCAGAAATATAGATAAAAAGTATATTTCTAATTTTTTACTCTATACTTTCCTTATTTGAGGTGGAGTTTAACTTAGGTCGCTGACCTGCCCTCGGACAAAGCTCCTATTAAGTTAAATTAATCGCAAAAGGCAACTTGACATATTTATCAAGGAAATGATATATTATCGTTTTAACCACGAACAAATTATTTGTAAAATGTATAGTCATCTTGGTACAATTGTTTTTGATTTTTGTTACTAATTATTAACAAATATATGTCTGAATGTTATCACTGCGTTATTATAAATTTAGTGCAATTTTTTGAACATGGTGTCAAACAAATATCAAATTGACTTGTTTTATGAACTTCATGCATTAGGCGTTCACTTACCATATTTAATACTCAACTGACAGATTTCAGCAGCAAAGAAAGAATTCCGATGTCAACTTTTGCTATCGTCTGGTACATAATTAGATCTATCTAAATGGGTTGTAATTTTGTCTGTACAATTGTGTATATATATATATATATATATATATATATATATCAAAAATGTCAATATCAAAAGAAAAATTGAACATATGTATAGTAGTAGTATATAACAATTACTATATGATTGTTACACGCACTACTTAGGTGCAATAAAAAAATATATACATTTAACTTAACCCTTAAGGGTTAAGGGTCACTGGAATATGATTTTGACGTTGAAGAAAACTATTATGAAATTGTGTCTGTTTCAAAAATATGTATGGCTCCATATATGTAATACGCAATTACAGTGTGTATGTGATGTGAAAGATTTTCAGCATCTCGAGTTTGTGTACGCCCTAGTAAATTTTGCATTTGGTCGTCGTTTTGTAAAATTGCACTAATTTCAAAATTCAAATGACATTTGTAATACGAAATAATAATCCACCCTTTAATTAGCTTTACGTGGTGATTGAGCGAACCATTTCTTGGTAATTATTAACAGCTAAATAAAAGATTGACAAAGTTTTCGCAAAAATATCCTGTTGAATTTTTCGTCTATTTTTTCCAGAAAATCGTAATCCTGTTTAAAATATTCAAAGTTCGTTTGAAATATATAAATTGGCATAATTTTTGTTAAAAGTTGGACAAGCTATTTCTTTGTAATTAACAGTATATTTCCCGATATTATGCAAGTTGTCTTCTAGCAATACTCATTGGAATCTTTTTGAATTATTTTCCATTCTGAATATTATATTATGTATCATTATATATATATATATATATATATATATATATATATTTAACTTATTTTTTAAAACCTTACCAGAAATCAATACCATCATCAATCAATTACTCCTACATATTTGTAATTTTTTATCTAACCATGAAGTGTTTAGTGGAATAGCACACACTTTACGCGATTTATTGTGTAAATATATTTTTAGTAAATATTGATTTATATATATATATATATATATATATATATATAATATGAAATCATTTTATATTTATTGTGTGTGACTAATTCAATCTATGAGTAACCGACCGTGCTGGTGTCTACTTATCAGTTAGGTGTATTGATTTATTCACATGTATTCTTGAATCATACGCAAATATTTAACTTTAACTTAAATAAAACATATGTATTTTATCTTTTTCTCGATTCTAGTAACGAGCTCTTTAATTTTCTTTTGCGAAACTAATAATATGGTTAGCATATTAACTTAACGGCAGTTAATATACGAATCGTGTACTGTATGCATTCATACAGCATACAGTAATTATAAAACATAACTTTTATACAAAAACAACGCTAGATAAGTTTGTTGAATAAAAATATATCTGAAGTTTACAAAACAATGTAGTAAAACAATGTGTGAAATCTTGTTTACACATCCTAAACTTACGTATTCTGCTTTATCGACGGAAAATAATTCCGAGTACTACGATCACACAATTCGACCGATTACAAACAGTATTAAGAAATAAAGCTTAAAATTTTTTTTCAAAAATTTTAAATGTTAAACTTAATATTTCATATTCATATTTTATGCGTTGCATAGTTAACTTATGTAACTTTAAAGTTTTAGAAACGCTTTTTTAAACAATATTAAAATAGCAATTAGAAAAAGTATTTTTTATAAACTATTGTGCTACTAGTACTATTACTGGAATTCTAAAATCCATCACAATAGCTTATAGATATGTATTTCTGATTGTTATTCAATAAAAAAAAAACTAGTGGTAGTGCTGGAACTTTCGGTACCGTAATTAAAAATCTTGGTGCGGAACTCAAGAAAAAATTCACAAAATGTGTACACATTATTAAAATCTCTATAAAATATCTGATAATTTGATGTACATAAGCCTAATGAATATTTTTCACCGCCAAATGATATTTTTTTAATCTATTTTTATTGAGAGTCCATAACGGCTGGACCTGCCTTCCCAAAAATTTAATCAGTTTTTCATCTTGTCAATACAAGTAAAATGTTTTTTGAATTATTTAAATCGGACGCGTCGTTCTCTTAAAAACTGAATTATTCAAATCGGTTGATCGGTGTTCCCGAAATTGTCGACGAAAATTTGTATCCGCACACACACACATACATGCATTTTTTCTAAGGCATGCCAAAATATTCAGAAACCTTTGAAACAAAGATATATACAAATTTTTATTTTTGATTTTTTTGCTATTACTATAACTTACCCTACGGGAAGTTAAAAAAAAAATGAATAAAACTATTATGCTGATTTTTATGACTTCGTTAATAAGAACTAAAATTCGAAAGTAAAGGTGAGTTATTCATTGGAACATAGAAATGTAAAATTAGCCCACATTGAGGACGATTAACTTTTGACAATAGTCTCATTTGTTGCGTCATTTCAGCCGGTTAGCGCTTAATGTTGTGCAAAGTGTTGTTTTCGTGTGTGAATTGTGTTGTTTCCGTGAAGTGGTCGCGCTTTTTCTTTGCAAAAGAGGAATTTTGATAGTTCTACTTAGACAGGAATGTCACTTCGTTAGACAATAAGTGCTTATAATTACATACTGTGAAATATACTTGGCAATATTACCACGTTTCTGTGTTTGCGCTCACACGCTACAACTTTCTTACGAACGAAACTGGAATAGCAAAGGGACGTTATTCGAGTTTTATTTAACTATTTACCTCTTTGTTTCAAATGAAGGTGATTCAAATGTTGAAAGAGCTATGAAGAAGAGAAATACATTACTCGTGCTTACAAGGATTTAATTGTGATTACGTAAACTGTTCAAAACTTTTAGATAGTTTGATATCGAATAGATCCGTTTTTAATTTGGTATGCAGTGACATAGTTAATAGTATTATCCTCTTCAGCTAACAAATAAGCAATAGGGCTCGCACGTAGGTAAGCGGTTAAGAGCGATGGGACCTGAATCAGAGGTCCCGGGTTCGATACCCACTTCGAGCAGCCTGTTGTCAGACAGCAGTGACAACGATTTGCACTTGGAAATATAGATAGTAATATGTTTCCAAGTGAAAATAGCCCTCACCCGGTATTGCTGCAACAATAAAAATACTCGCCCTATTACAGAAATTGTAATAATAATATATCATATAGAGATGTGACAACTGGGTTGCCATCTGTCCAACAGACTAGTATTAAGTCAAATCAGCACAACAGCTTATATGACTATTGGGTTCTGATTGCTGTTCTAAAATAAAAAAATAAAACTATTTTAAATTTGATTTGGTATTAACGCTAGAAGATTAAACCTCGAGTAAATGGTTTTTTAATTGTTTTATAAGATATTAATTTTTACAAACTCAAATTAATTTGATTTTATTTTAATATAGAATTTATATTACTCATTTCTGTCTACTGACATTGTACTTTTAGATCATAATTATAAAGCTTAAAACTTCAAAATTATTATTTATTATAAACTATAATTTTTTTTTTAATTAAAGTTTTGTAAATTGATTG